GGCTGGAGCCCAGGCGGAGTGCCCGCCCGGCCCAGGCGGCCTCACACCCCCAGGTCTGCGCTGGCCCTGGCCTGCAGCCTCACGCAGCCTGGCCCCGGGGCACCACCGCCCACCCACTGCCTCCAGACATCGGGTGACAGGCTGAGGCCCCACCGGTCACCCCTCTGCCCTCCTGGGCCTCCTCCACAGGACAGCACAGCCGCCCCGGCCGGCCGCCTCCCCCACCCGCTGCGCTTCCTCCTCTGGCAACAGCGTGCCCACTCGCCACCCAGCGGCCTCTGTCCTTCCAGGCTCTCAGCCTCGGGCCCTTCCCTGACCGCTGCTCCCCATCAGCCACTCCCGTCCCTTGGGCATGCGGCCTGCCAGCGGGCAGGGCGGGGAGAGCGACAGGGCACTCACGCTGCTGCGGGATCAGCGCGGCGCCTCCCCCTGCACCCTGCCCCCCCCGCACCCCCACCTGCCTGCGGCCTCCCGAGCCAGGAAGCGCAGGGTGTTCCCCGTGGCACAGTGCTACTCAGGCCTGAAAGGGGACCCCAACACTGGCTACCGCGTGGGTGAGGGCCCCGCGCGACAGGGAATGAGCCGGTCACAAAGGGCCAGCACGCACAGCCAGACGGGCCTCGGCTGGCCACGCGAGGGGGGGCGCTGCCCAGGGCCTGGAGGGCGGGGGCGGGGGGCCAGGGCGGCCCTGGAGAGGCGGGTGGGGCTGCTCGGCAGTGGAACGAGCTTGAAGACAGAACTGTCTGCCTCAGGTGGCAAAAGTAAGTCTGTGTGTTTTTTACAATAAAAATAAATGAAAAAGCCACACCAGCAGATCTGACAGCAGCAGGCGCCCGAGGCCGGCGCCACCTCGCCCAGACCCTGCCCGCTGCGGCCGGCCCGCAGGCTTAGCCCCAGGCCCAAGAACCCCCACCCAGAGCACGAGGGTGGGGAGGAGGGGCTGTGGCCTCGCACCTCCTGGCACCTTCTCCGCGTGCTGGCCAGGGCCGCCTGGGCCTCTGGGAGCCCCTGGCTCCGCACCCACACCCCAGAGTACAGGCCACGGCGGCACCGGGGAACGGCAAGGCCCTTCGCCCCCACCCCGCGGTCCCTTCTCCACACCTGTGTCCGTCGGGCTGGGCACCCTCGCCCTGCCCACCCCACGCCCTGCCCCCGCCCAGCCAGGCAAAGACTTTGCTCCTCTCAAGCCTCCTCTGGTGGAGCCACCGCCCTGGGCTCACCCAGGGTCAGGCCAGGCCCAGGCCCAGGCATCAGCCCGGGCACGTGGAGGCCGGAGGGCGTCCGGCGCTGCCCGTGGAGGCCTGTCGCAGCCTTCAGCCGTGAGCCAAGGCCCACCCTCCGGCGGGCACCGGGCCCGCGGGCCACACGGCTTCTGCACCTCGAGGTCTGTTCGGGGAACCCCACCAGCGAGAACTGTGCCTTGGATGAAGCAAGCAGGCGTCCGGCGGGCAGAGCGGCTGGCCAGGGTGGCAGGGACCGCAGGGCAGCTGCTGGCACCACGCCGCACTTCCCCCCTCAGGCCCCGCGCCCTGAGCAGTCTGCAACCTCTCAGCTCACTCGAGGACGCGAGGCCCTGAAAGCGGGAGGGGCACCCTGCCCGCCCGAGCCTCGTCCAGCACCCTGTGGACACCAAGGTCACAGGCTGCTGCTCTGAGGGCAGGTCCCACGCTGCGGGGCAGGCGGCGCAGGCCGGGCGGGGGCGCCCAGACCCTCCAGGCACTGGTCAGAACCGGCCGCCAGGCTGCCCGCAGGTTCCCAGGAGACAGAGTGGGCACAGCCCAGCAGCACAGGCCTCTCGGCCACTCGGGCCACTCCCCGGCCAGGCGGAGAAGCGCAGTGGCGAGCGCGGCCCCGGCAGCACGCGAGTCCCAGCCCAGCCACCTGCGGCCAGGAGACG